TAACCCTGGTTGGTAAACTGGTTGGTTAACCCTGGTTGTTGTTAAACTAGTTGTTTGGTTAACCCTGGTTGTTTTGTTAACCCTGGTTGGTAGACTGGTTGGTTAACCCTGGTTGTTTGGCTAGCCCTGGTTGGTTAACCCTGGTTGTTTGGTTAACCCTGGTTGGTAGACTGGTTGGTTAACCCTGGTTGGTACACTGCTTGGTTAACCCTGGTTGGTACACTGCTTGGTTAACCCTGGTTGGTACACTGGTTGGTTAACCCTAGTTGTTGGTTAACCCTGGTTGGTACACTGGTTGATTAACCCTGGTTGGTACACTGGTTGGTTAACCCTAGTTGTTGGTTAACCCTGGTTGGTACACTGGTTGGTTAACCCTGGTTGGTTAACTCTGGTTGGCTGGTTAGCCCTGGTTGGTAAACTGGTTGGTTAACTTTGGTTGGTTGGTTGATAGACTGGTTGGTTAACCCTGGTTGGTAAACTGGTTGGTTGGTTGGTTGGTTGGTTGGTTGGTTGGTTGGTTAACCCTGGTTGTTTATCTCAGGCTGGCCTTGTGCATGCTGGATGTTCAGCAGTTTGAGTTGGTCCTAATCGATCCTCCTGACCGTCCTGATGAAGGTCTTGTATCTTCATCAGTGTGTGACCTCATCCCTCTGGTCTTCCTCAGTTCAAAGATCCTCTCATCCTCCTGCTGCTGGCCTCAGCCGTCATCAGCATCATCATGCACCAGTTCGATGACGCCATCAGCATCACGGTGGTATGTTGGATCTAACACAAACATAAGATTCCTTATTTAGTAATGTTTATAATAAAACATCTGATTTGACCTCTCACAGTCATGGCTGACCTCACAAAGTCACCTTGTTAATATTTAATTTAAGACAGTCAGTGTTTTGTGTTTCGATTAGTCCTGAATCTTTGTGATGGTTTGTTTTGTTCACCAGGCCATCATCATCGTGGTGACGGTCGCCTTCGTTCAGGTACTTCCTGTTTGTTCAACCATCACATGTTGTTGGTAGTTTGAAGCCACGGATGGTTGTGTGTGTGTGTGTTAGAAGCTGAACCTTGTGTTTCCTGTGTGCAGGAGTATCGCTCAGAGAAGTCTTTAGAAGAGCTCGGGAAGCTGGTTCCTCCAGAATGCCACTGGTGAGAGTTTATTTTAGTAGTTATGATCCTGCTCCTCCTGCTCCTGCTCCTCCTCCTCCTGTGGAACTGAAGCCAGGGCCTGTGACTGTTGGACAGTAGTTGGTGGACAGCAGTCATCTCCAGATGTTCTCAGAGCTTCTCAGTCTTGTTGCTTTGTGTCAGATTATCCTCAAATCCTCTCAGTTCAGCTGATCTTCTGCCAGATCTTTTCTGTTAAACTGAATAACCGTGAAGGTAAACCCACCTGTCCCCTCAGCATCAGGGATGGACACCAGGTGCACATGTTGGCCCGGGAACTGGTTCCTGGTGACACCGTGTGCCTGTCGGTGGGGGAGCGGGTCCCTGCAGACCTCCGTCTGTTTGAGGTACGGCTGTTAGTGGAGTGTTTGTTCTTATCCACCTGTTGAAGACCACCTGCAGACCACACAGGTGTGTCTGCCTCAGGTGTTGCAGCTGAAACAACTGAGCCTGGTTCAGCTGTGAACTGTCTCCTCCTCCCCCAGGCCAGCGACCTCTCTGTGGACGAGTCCAGTTTGACGGGGGAGACCACCCCCAGCTCCAAATCCACGTCCCACCAGCCGGCAGCCTCCAACGGAGACATCTCGTCCCGCAGCAACATCGCCTTCATGGGGACGCTGGTCCGCTACGGCAAGGCCAAGGTACCAGCAGGACCAGTACCCTGAGACCCGTTGGAGTCCTCAGGTCCTGTTTGTAGAGTCCTAACCCTGGTCGGTTTGTTCCTCAGGGCATCGTCATCGGGACCGGAGAGGACTCAGAGTTTGGAGAGATTTTTAAAATGATGCAAGCTGAAGAGGTGTGTTTTTAAAAACAAATCTTTTTAACCTTGAATAAAGACACTTCTGTTTGCAGAGAACACTCTGTCCAAATACAGAAGCTTAGAAGAAAACCAGCTGACCCATGTCTGCTCCTGATCAAATATTTGAGCTGCTGTTGGTGGTTTACAGTGGACAGTAACTGCTGAGCCTGTTTCCTGTTTCAGTCTCCTAAAACGCCTCTGCAGAAGAGCATGGACCTGCTGGGAAAGCAGCTGTCTCTTTACTCCTTCTGCATCATAGGTGAGCATGTTGTCTCTGCCCGAGTCGTGACCTCCGTCTGCAGGTGGGCTCGGTGTCACCTGTCTGTCTGTCTGATGTTTCAGGTGTCATCATGCTGGTGGGATGGCTGCAGGGGAAGAGCCTCCTGGACATGTTCACCATCGGGGTCAGGTATCTGCAGCTGGAGCTTTCTGCTGCTAGTGAATGTTGACAGGTCACAGAAAACTAAACGAGGCACAACAAGCTTTCCTACATGATGGTTCTTGATGGGGCTGTGGGTTCTCTTCCCTCAGTCTGGCTGTTGCTGCCATCCCAGAGGGCTTGCCCATCGTGGTGACGGTGACGCTGGCGCTTGGTGTGATGAGGATGGCGCAAAAGAGAGCCATCGTCAAGAAGCTCCCCATCGTAGAGACCCTGGGTACGGTTCTGATGGGATCAGATGGTGGTTCTGACTGTGTGAGGTTCTGGGTGTTAACAGGAGCGTTCTTCTGGTGTTTCTTTTTGTCAGGATGCTGTAACGTCATCTGTTCAGACAAAACAGGAACTCTGACCAAGAATGAGATGACCGTCACTCAGATTTTCACATCAGATGGGATCCATGCCAAGGTCTGAGTCTTTTAATCTGAAACTTTTAGTCTGACTTCAGTGGCATTAGGCTCACAGGTAGATGTTTCCTGCTTAGAGCTGAGTCATTAACAGGATTTTTAATGACCTTTATAACAAGCTGTTTGGGTCATTTATCTCTTTGAATCAAGGATGTTGAAGCAGAAAAACATCCTAACATTCAGAGCTACATGGGACCCAAAACTGGCCTGGGAAACGCCTCAGATTTTTTGTTAGTTTACCCTCAGCATTGTCTTGCAGGTGACAGGCGTCGGCTACAACGGGATGGGAGAAGTATTACTGGAGGGAGATGTCATACATGGCTTCTCCTGCCCTTCAATCAGTAAAATTGTGGAGGTAAAGAAATCCCCTCAGCCCTTGATAATCTTTGATTTTTTGTTTACAAATTGAAGAGTTAAAATTACCTCAGATTTCTGTTACTTTACATTTTACAGTACAACTATATAGTACAGTATGGGTAGTATAGTACGGAACATTGGGGTAGTATAGTATGGAACATTGAGGTAGTATAGTATGGAACATTGAGGTAGTATAGTGCGGAACATTGGGGTAGTATAGTATGGAACATTGGGGTAGTATAGTGCGGAACATTGGGGTAGTATAGTATAGAACATTGGGGTAGTATAGTATGGAACATTGGGGTAGTATAGTATGGAACATTGGGGTAGTATAGTATGGAACATTGGGGTAGTATAGTGCGGAACATTGGGGTAGTATAGTGCGGAACATTGGGGTAGTATAGTGCGGAACATTGGGGTAGTATAGTATGGAACATTGGGGTAGTATAGTATGGAACATTGAGGTAGTATAGTGCGGAACATTGAGGTAGTATAGTGCGGAACATTGGGGTAGTATAGTGCGGAACATTGGGGTAGTATAGTGTGGAACATTGGGGTAGTATAGTGTGGAACATTGGGGTAGTATAGTGTGGAACATTGGGGTAGTATAGTGCTGAACATAGTGCGGAATATTGAGGTAGAATAGTGCGGAACATTGGGGTAGTATAGTGCGGAACATTGGGGTAGTATAGTGTGGAACATTGGGGTAGTATAGTGTGGAACATTGGGGTAGTATAGTGTGGAACATTGGGGTAGTATAGTGCTGAACATAGTGCGGAATATTGAG